TATTAATATTAATAAAATACTTGACGCTAGCGTAAAGATGATTTCTAAATTTTCCATTTACGTGTGTGTAAAATATGTAGTAGATATCAAAAAGTCCAAACGAAGCATAATAATATGAATGAAACATGAAATATAAATAAATAAATAATCAAAATTTAATTTTTTTTGCTATCAAAAGTTTATATAATTATTATTTTACGTTTAAAGTAACGTAATTGATGTACATGATTTTTTTTATTATATACAGTTATTAAGTTTTTCAAAACAAAAATATCAACTGCGAATCCGAAGTTCTTAGGTAAAACCTTTTTCTTTTCTCGTATGAAACGCCTCCAGCTAGAAGAAATTTTAAGTAAAAAAGAACTATTAGACCCCATATTTACTATTTTTGTTTACGACCATGCTAAAACTTTAAATTAAAATACTAAAAGATATGCCGGCTGAATTAACTTTAGTTTTGTTCGGGGACCAATGTTCTATATAAAGTTTATTAGGTTTTTAGGGTTCCGTAGTCAACTAGGAACCCTTATAGTTTCGCCATGTCTGTCTGTCCGTCTGTCCGTCCTCGCTTAATCTCTGTGACCGTTAGGACTAGAAAGCTGAAATTTGGTACCAATATGTGTATCAATCACGCCGACAAAGTGGTAAAATAAAAATTGGAAAAAAATGTTTTATAAGGGTAGCCCCCCTATATGTAAAGTGAGAAGTGATTTTTTTTTTAATTTCAACCCTAACGTGTGATATATTGTTGGAAAGGTATTTAAAAATGAATAGGGGTTTACTAAGATCATTTTTTGATAATGTCAATAATTTCGGAAATAATCGCTCCAAAAGTAAAAAACAATGTGTCCCCCCCCTCTAACTTTTGAACCATAAGTTTAGAAAATATGAAAAAAATCTGTAAAGTAGAACTTTGTAAGGACTTTCCAGGAAAATTATTTTGAACTTGGATGGAAACAGTTTTTGTACAAAAAAAGACAAAAAGTTGTACAAAATAATTTCTGGACTAAGTTTGTAGTAGAATCGTATATGCAAGCATTTTTTTTAACTTCGTTTACATATCTTTTTCAAACAAAAAAAAGAATTATTAAAATCGGTTCTCGCAATCCAAAATTACCACCGAAAACTTCTGGCACGTCTATGTATTAATTAATAACCCAATCCCCGAGAGATGTCGCTGTAGGTACTTATTACATTGGTCGGGTATTATCGAATTGTTCGGTTGGTCTCTCCTTGGCATTGGCGGTATCTTATAACAACATAAAACTTTTATCAAGAACATGCTAAGGCAATTTAGAACAAATCTAAAATTCATTTTTTTAACGCCATCAAAATGTTAAGGTAAAAACCAGTTCATAAATGGTTCGATAGATGGCGTTGCATAATGACGTTATTTTATTAAAAGTCAATGTTAATATTTTCCGTGCTTTCATGACCTACCGTGGTAAAGGAAGTTGCACTTAAACATATTCGTAATCCTATGAGTGCACAATCTAATAGTCGTCGAGGTTTGATAAAATTAGATTGTGGGTTAAATTAACTTCTTTTGCGGATATTGTTCATATTAATTTTGTATGTACGCACAGTACGCAGTTACTTGATACGTACAACTCCTAGCTAATTACGATTTGAAGTGGGCTAGTTTGTTAAAATAGTGTTAAACACACTTGTGTATAATTACTTATTGTCCGGTATTAAAATGTTCTCGTATATTTTGAACAGTAATAATCATGTTGAGGACGACGTTGTGCGCGCCTTTCATGATGTGTTAGCCCAACACACATCGTTTCGGCCTAGAGAAGTGTCTCTTTTTCTTTATCCGGAACTAATAGAGCCTGTGCCTCAAAACGAGTCTCATTTACAAATTATATATGGCGGAGAAGTCGGGTTTGTGGGGCATTGGATTTGCATTTATTACATCAATGGAATATTACGGGTCTATGATAGTTTATATAATAGTTTAAGTCATTCGCAGCACGTTTACGTTAACGCACTATTCCCATACTTGGATAATAATAAAATACAATTTCCTAGTGTCCAACGTCAACCAAATAATAGTATTGAGTGTGGGCTATTCGCCATTTGTTTTGCCACCGCTTTAGCTTTGAGAGTTAATCCATCCTGTATCAATTTCGTTGCCGAGGACATGCGACGTCATTTGTTTGATATGTTATCTCGAGGTGTATTAGAACTTTTCCCATCAACTAACACCGCAAGAAGAGCTGGCCGGCCACCAGCAAATTTGTTCCTTAATATACTAGCAAAGAAAGAAAAATGTAAAATTAAGGATGCCGAAAAGAAAAAAAACAAAAGGTCTCAAAAGACACAGTCTCAAGAAACTGAAAGTCAAAACGTTAATTACAAGAAAAACATTGAATACCCCACATTTACAGATAATACGCAGATATTTGAAAGTCCAACGTCTTCAAGTAGTACGCAGATATTTGAAAGTCCAACGTTTACAGGTATTACGCAGATAATTGAAAGTCCAACATTTACAGATGAATCACAGAAAGACAAAAATCCGACTAATGATATCCAGACCATTGACTGTTTAGCACTTACGTATAGTACTCAAGAAAAACCAAGTCCTACATTAAGACATGCCAACAACGAACATACTGGGTCCGGCCAAGCCAAACGTAGAAGAAAAAATACTGATTACACACAGACTAAGCAAATACGAAATACTGAGAGCCACAGGGCCACTCGTCAGATTCCCGTCATTATACAGGCAGAGCAACAACGCAACACGCAGGCTCATCGCTTAGCTCGTGAAAACCCTATCTTCCGGGATACAGAACAGCAGCGGGACACGCAGGCTCACCGTGAAGCTCGAGAAAACCCTATCTTCCGGGATACAGAACAGCAGCGAAATACGCATGCTCACCGCATAGCTCGGGAAAACCCAGTCTTCCGTGATATAGAGCAACGGCGTGATACCCAGGCTCACCAAATAGCTCGCGAAGATCCACATTATTCACAAATTGAACGAGCTAGAGACACCAGAGCTCGACAATCGGCGCGTTGTAATTCTATTAATGATTGGGATAATGTTAAACGAAAATATTTTAATAACACCAAGGAAGGATACAATCATCCTTGTTCATGTTGTGGTAGACTATGGCACAAAAATTCTGTAAGGAAACTAATAAAGCATTCTATTTCGACTAAATATAATGCAGAATTCGCGTTAAGTGTATTTAATTTAAATCCTTGTGATGAATCTGCTGAGTTTTGCTGTACGTGTGCTAAATATATAACTCAAGGGCGAATGCCACGATTAGCAATAGCTAATGGATTGAAGTTTCCAGATATTCCGGATGTTTTGAATGAATTAACTTCAATGGAGGAGAGATTAGTAAGTCCTCGTCACGTATTTTTGAAAATAGTTCGTAGAGGCCAGGGATTAGGATATCAGCATGGTTTATCAGGAAATGTTATTAATGTACCTGTAAAAATTAATAACATGGTAAAAGCTTTGCCTCGGTCGATAAATGATGACAATGTCATCACTGTAGAGTTGAAGCGTAAATTCTGTTATAAACATGGTCGAAAAGAACAAGTCCGCCCGGAAATCATACGGAGAGCAGCGGAATATTTAGTAACGTGTGATCTGTTTCGGACATATGGTATAGAACTTGAAGGTTCATGGACAAATAATGAAACTGAAGACACTGTCGAATGTACCTGTAGTTCACCTGAGCAGGAGAGCAATGTTGATGAGATCCCCGATGTAAATCCTGGTGGCACAGAAACTCTGTTAGATGAAAACCAAGACCTATCAATAGTTATGGCTCCAGGAGAAGGTGAAAGGCCAATTTCCTTGCTTTTTGATCGACATCTGGAAGAGCTGGCTTTCATAAAAGTACATTGCGCTATTGAGCGAAAATACCTCGTGAACTTAAGTCATTCTGAAGTCACACGTTCAGAAATTTCCAGAAATGACAGGCGAGCTGTAAGACCTGATTACCTATTTACTGCCCTGAAAAAGCAACAAACTATTGCCGTCAAAAATAATGTTACGACCTGTTTACGCAAAAAAACTGTCCGAGGTGCCCCTGTATTTGCATGCAATGTGCTTCAAAATAATTTTGTTGACAATTTAGTTCAACATGACGATGGGTATCGTGTTCTTGGAGGAATTAGAAATTCTCCTGCTCACTGGGAAAGTGAAAAGAAAAAGTTGTTGGCAATGGTTAGACAGTTCGGTGTTCCCACTTTATTTTTAACTATATCTGCTGCTGAAGTACAATGGATTCCATTATTAATTTTGCTTAGTGAAGTAGTTGATAAGAAAAAACTTACTGAGCTTGAAGCGGAAAACTTGCCATACGATACAAAAACTCGCCTTATACAATCCGATCCGTTCATTTGCGCCACATATTTTGAAATCAAATTAAAAGAAATTCAAAAAACCTGGTCCTGTTCATCTGGACCTTTCTTAAATTATAAAATCACACACTTTTATTATCGCATTGAATTTCAGCATAGAGGATCGCCTCATGCTCATATGATGTTATGGTTAGACGAAGCGCCCACTTTTGTACCCGGTGATACAGCATCTGCTCGTGATATTTCCAAATTTGTTGACAATATTATTTCCTGTAACAGCACTGAAGTACCTGATGAACTTAGACGTCTACAACTACATAAACATACACATACATGCCGGCCAACATCAGATAGACTGTGTCGCTTTTGGAATACCATTTTTCCCCATGGATAAAACAAAAGTATTAAAAGAACTTTCAAAAGACGATCCAGAGTTCAAAAAGTCAAAACAATTGGCAAAAGACATCTGCCAAAAAATACAAAATATCCCTGCAGAAATATACACTTTCGTTGATTTTTTGGACTGGATTAGAGTTAGTTATGAAGATTACATATTGGCTATTAGAAGCACCTTAAAACGACCTACGGTAGTCCTTCAACGAAGACCTCAGGATGTATTTATTAATCCTTTTAGTAAAAAAATCTTAGCTTTGCACAAAGCAAACATGGACATCCAATTCATATTAGACCCGTTTGCGTGCGCAGTATATATTGTTGACTATATTAACAAGGCTGACCGAGGGATGTCTCGTCTTTTGCGTGAAGCTTTGGACGAAGCTAAAAAAGGAAATAAAAGTGTTAAAGACTCATTAAGAATAGTATCTAATGTATTCTTAAATTCTAGTGAGATCTCTGCTCAAGAGGCAATTTATGTACTGACTGGTTTACCGCTGTCACGAGCTAGTGAAGCTGCAATGTACATAAACACTAGTTTGCCACAAGAGCGAGTGCATATTTTAAAAAGTTACCTTGATTTGCAAAGCCTCGAACCTGATTCTTCCGATATATTCCAAAAGGGTATTATTGATTATTATTCAAAACGACCACTATCGTTAGAAAACATAAGTCTTTCCCATTTTGTAGCATATTACACCTATTCCAAAAAAAACTCATTCAGCTAGTTCAATAGAAACTCTCAATGACAGTTCTCAAGCAATTAATTATTCCCAGGCTGTTGAAGAAGTTGAAGCGGAAGGGAATTGGATTCCTTTGCAAGATAATTTAGGATACATACGGAAAAGAACTAAAACTCGAGTAATACGATTTCGCCGGTACAGTTACATTGATGATCCAGACAATTTCTATAGGGAACAGATAATGCTATACATCCCTTGGCGAAGCGAGGAGGAAGAATTACTAAATCCCAACATAAATATAAAGGACATATTTGACGAGTATAAAGAAAGAATAAAGGCCGAAAGTAAACAATTCAATAAACTAGGTGATGCTGAAATGTTTGAAACATTGCTAACAGAAATAAGAAATGTAGAATTAATAAACGAAGAAGAAGATTTGCAAGGAAGAGGAGTCAACGTGGATGTATTTGAAGGCTTTGAATTTGAGACGCAAACAGTAGATATAGCAGAAGAACTCATTCCAGGCGGTAATCCCGGGCCGCAATTGTGTGGTGACCCCTCAACTTTCATTGCGCAACCACCTGTCTTGTCCCATGACGATTTTTTGATTCTTACTAGAAAACTAAATGATGCTCAAAGAGACACGTTGTTTCATATTTATCAACACTTTTCCATTACTTCTCCACATCCACTATATTTATTTATCAGTGGTGGGGCTGGCGTTGGCAAAAGTATTCTGATTAAAGCAATTTATCAATGCCTAACTCTCTTATTTAACAGAGAAGCTGGTAGTAATCCCGATGAATTAAAAATACTTTTAACAGCTTTTACCGGTAAAGCTGCATTCGGAATAGGAGGGCAAACAATCCATAGCGCACTTGGACTTCCAGTGTCTCAAGCGGGCAATATTTTACCAGAGCTGTCACCAAGTGTGGCCAATACTCTGGCCACAAAACTAGCAAAACTACGTTTAATTGTAATTGATGAAATTTCAATGCTAGGATCCAGGACATTCCATCAAATAAATCGTAGACTTCAGCAAATATTTCATTCTTCTACCTTCTTTTCTGGAATTTCAGTGATAGTAGTTGGAGACTTCAGACAATTACCACCTGTTGGCGACAACTGGGTGTTTCAAGCTAATTCTCGAAATCCTTTAGCAGAAATAGCAGGTACGCCGCTTTGGGATTTATTTGTACTGACAGAGCTTAAAGAAATAATGCGTCAAAGGGATGATGTTGCCTTTGCAACGGCATTAAATAATATGGCTAGTGGATGTATGTCACCTGAAGATGTCAATTTAATTGAAGGTCGGTGCTTTAGTAAATCATCACTTCCAGACACGTGTAAGGGCGCAGTTCATCTATTCAGCAGTAACCGAGAAGTTGATGGGCATAATTCTAAAATACTCTCAAATATGACTACCGAAGGAGCGATATCCCGGGCTGTGGATAGAGTAAGTGGCGAAGCTAATCCTGCTATGAAAGAAAAAGCTCTAAACACAGTTGCCAAGTTACCCACGTCTCAAACCTACGGATTACCTAATGCTATAACTTTAAAAATCACGGCTAAATATATGATGACAGTAAATATTAACACGTCAGACGGACTAGTGAATGGAACCACGGGGGTACTGACTGCGATTGATTTTGCAGTCAATCCAACTACCGGTGAGAGAAGACCATTACGCATTTGGATATGTTTCGATGACGTAAATATAGGCAAATTAAAAAGAATTCAGAGCTCAACATCCCTCACTCGTTATCAAACACGGCTAAAAAATAATTGGACTCCAATAGAGCCAGTTACGTACACTGTGAAAAGGTACAAATCTTCAAACTTACAAGTGCGTCGCAGTCAATTCCCAGTAGTTCCCGCTGAAGCTGTTACTATACATAAAAGTCAGGGTTCCACCTTAGAAAAAGTTGTAGTACATTTAAAGCCCAATATTTTAAGATCTATGTTATACGTCGCCTGCTCACGTGCCACTAGCTCAAAAGGTTTATTCATTGTTACCGAGACCTTTCGTCCTCCACGTCCACCATCTGAGCATGATTCCGTCGTAACGGAAATGCGAAAATTAAAATTAAATCCCCTGATTCCCATATATCGCTTTTTAAGAGAGCCCCGCAGTTCCTGCCAAATTATGTTCCATAACGTACAATCTCTACGTAAACACTTGCAGGATGTAGTAACCGATCCGCAGACGATGGCATGCGACATTTATTTAGCCGTAGAAACTTGGAGTTGCCTTCAAGATTTATTCAATATGAATAATTTTGAAGAAATAGTTCGAACAAATGGCCCGAAACAGTATTCTGCAAACCCCGGCTTTGGTGTATCTGCAATGATAAAACATAATCTAGAATATTCCAACCCACGATCTTACAGTGAAATTTCCGGAACTGAGCACTGTGAAGCAGTATCTTTTGAAGTAAATAATGTGAAAATAGTAGCCTTATATAGATCATGCAAATGCCCCAACAGCGTCGCAGTGGGTTTTATAAGTAATTTACTGTCGCATAATAGTTCTTGCATTATATTTGGAGATTTTAACGAAGACTACCTTAGTAACAGCAATACTGCAGTATTTAAATTACTAAATGACGCTGGTTATCACTCCATGTTACAACCCCTACCCACTACTCGTGGTGGGACTCAAATAGACAACATTTTCTCGAACTTTCCATGTGTGGTTGGAATCTATAACTCTTTTTTTAGTTATCACCGTCCTTTGTGGGCCCGTTTTTAGTGTTCCGTAATTGTTAGAGTTCCGTAACAAATAGCCTTTTTAAGTTGGGTTACCACTATGTTCGCGCTCCAGCGGCGCTCCGCGCTCCTGCAACTGCTCCAATGGATACGTGGCGCGCACTTCTACATGCGCTCCCCTTTAACACACTGCGCTCCCCTTTGTGTTCGCGCTAAAAACCATCATGAGTCGGAGCGCCTGCCGCGGAGCGTGCAATGTTGCACGCTCCATGTTCGCGCACGTACCCACTACCGGGAGCAGTTGCAGGAGCGCGGAGCGCTGCTGGAGCGCGAATATAATGGCTACCCACCTTTAAACTCATAAGTGGGAACACTTATTGTGACGAGAAACTACGGAACCCTACACTGAGCGTGGCCCGACACGCTCTTGGCCGATTTTTTCATCTTTAGCCGGATAATTCATAAATTTGATATACGTTTATGGCTTGTTTGGTTTTGTTTGTTATATATATTACAAAAATGCATACATCAGTATTAGGCTAAGGGTTACGAATAGAATAATTGACAATGACTGAATGAATAAATGATTTTTATTCAATATAGATATAATTTGAAATACCTCCGCCCTAGGTAGAACCAGCAAGAAACTCAGCGGGATTTCTTAAGCATATTTCACATTACAATAATTTTGTTTGTACAATTTTTAAACTGAATAATAGTACCAGCATGGTACAGCAGGATTACCTCATTCACAGGGGTTATTTTCATTTATGTATTCCTTGATATATGATAACCCTTTTTGTTTAATAATAATAATTTTTATTTAATAAAATTTTTAAACTTGTTTATCGACACACTTGAACTTTTTCTGTAAAATCGTATACATTGCCTCATAAATGAATTAATAATTCCGTGGGACTCCAGTTTGTAATGCCAGTTACTAGACTTGGTACTACTACTACTACTACTAGTACTAGACTTACTACTACTACTAGTTCTAGACTTAGTAACTGACATTACAAGCCTATGTTTGTTTCTAGTGTTTAAAGTAAGAACATCTTTATTCTTATCAAAGCATTTTATGTTCTTATTAACATATTTTACATTTTCATTGGGAGGGAGGGAACCTTTACAGTTCAAGTTATAAATTGCACGTACGATTCTCTTTTACAAAAAAAATATGGTTGCAATATCAGTCGCAAAATTCCATAAAACATTACGCTATCAAAGTAACTAATCTAGCTGTCACAAAATTGGTGAGATTTTTAATCTTTCTTACAGAATATGCTGCAGAACTAAGTCCGCTTGCTTATTTCGATACATGGGGCCACATTGAAGATTCGCGTCAATAGTAATACAAAAGAACACATTTGGCATAAAGGGTGTGTTTGTCTGTCATAATTTATTATTGAGTTTATTATTATCACTAACATTAGCCGTATCATATACTACACCAACCTTCGTTATTTTTGCACTTTGATCAACAATACCAACAGCTTTTATATAGAATACCGGTAGGTACGGCAGGGGCTCCGTTGTTAAACGTACATAAGTATAATAAAAGTAAAGTGTAATAAAAGTAAAATGAAATTTTGTTGTTTTTACAGGAATCGATTCGATATAAAATTATCAATAAATAATATATGACATTACTACTGAAGAAGAAGTATTAATTACGTTAACATAATTGCTTCGGCGTATCCGGAATAAATCCTTTAGCGGAAAAAAGTCAAATGATGGTCATTCATTTAAGTTTAAAGTAATTTATTTAATAATAATTACATTTTAGTATACTTATGCTAATGGTCGCCGAACACTCAGTCAGTAACTTCATAGCTTCAATTTAATGGAGAAAAATGTTCAATTATGTATTGTGATAGTTGAGACTTAAAACTACTAAATAAGCTTACGTTTTTTATATTACACGGCAATTTATTATAAATCTGTGCTCCTTCAAAGGTAGCGCCTATGATGCTTTTTTTTGTACCTTTGGTAGTACAAGTAAGCTAGGTCGACGAAGACTGCGTTTACAAATTTGTTATTTTTTTAAAGAAGATAACTTAGTATGGATGGTTTTATGAAGTATTTTCCTAATTATGCCCAATGCAAGTATTATATGTATGTAGTTGTTGAACGTTCATAAGTTTTTATTCTTTGATAATTTTAAAAGTTGCTGTTAAATAGGGATAGTGAAAAAGTATTTTTATGACTTTATTTTGTATTCTTTGAAGGTCCTGTAACATTTTACATTATATTCACGGCCACTCACGAAACCTCGACATACAACGGAAATACTATTAATAATGTATATATATATTTTTTATTAAAAATGGTCTCACTCTTGACCTCCATCTGGCTCGAGGGCAAAGGTGAGGTCTAGGACGCTTGAAGAGGTTCAGATTATACGGCAAAAATAAAACAAACGCCGGCATGCGTGGTATTCCGTGGCTGTGCCAATATTCGGAATGTCAATCAAGTGTGCGTAGAGATAGCCTATCAAGCTCATAGCCATACACGCCGAAGTACAATCTGTAGAAGACCGACAAACAAGTAAATTGGGGGCGGTAAGCTAAGCTGTAAAAGTTAGATTTATTATTTCTGCTTGACTGCCCTCAAAGCAAATTTGCAGTACTTTTTAACTATTTTGGATCTCTGTTAATCATCTGAAGAAATGTAATAGATATGAGAAGTGAAGTGAATATACAGAAATGCAAATCAAAGTAATTGCCTTGATATATTGATTAAAACTACTTTTACGGATTTTATCACGTTTTATTTATATTAATTTTAATACCCGACGTTGCGGGTGCTTTCCAGCACCCATGGTCCCCCGTGATCATAACCGAAATAAATAAAACGCGATAAAATCCGTAAAAGTAGTTTTAATCAATGTATAGTGTTCGCGTAAATATAAGAAATCATTATGCCTTGATATACATAAAAAATCATAAAAGTGATACTAAATCGCTATTTAAACGTGTACCTAAATTATATCAAATGTAAAGGCTTGTTATTGTTAGGTCACGATTGCGAACACCTTTTATAAATTCATTTTTAATTTTATCTTATGAAAAAAATAAACAAAATCAAAGAGCTAAACGCTCCAGTCAGTGCCCGCCGGAACATCTTTAAGGTTTGAAATACGTTGTTTATTCTAAACGTCTCCCCGCTTTGTTACTAATGCGCTCGACAATTGCGAAGTGAGGTAACGTTTCATACTCACCGTACTACAAGGTGGCCTTAACTTGCACAATGGAAAATGTATATATTAGACAAATATTCATGATTCGTTTAACATTGCAAAATGGGCTCTTACGAAATATATGTAACTTACTCATGTAATTGGTACGTGATAGAGCCATAGCCGCTATATTAGTAGTATAGTCGTAGCACGAATGGGTCAGCTCCACCGAGGAAGGACCACGCTGTCAGAGAATACCAGCGTAAAATAGCAGCTTAATGCTGCTGTGTTTCGTGTGGTGAGAACCGGAGACCCATTTTACTGAAAACGAGGCATCCATCTTAGCCCTCACGGGTGACAATGCATCTGCAATTTGATTTGTAATCGAGGATAGATGTAGATGTCTAGGGGTCGCAGTAATCACTTACGATCATCATTATCGCTTCAGCCAATATTCATTTATAAACATATCCTATCAGGTTCAGGGTTCGGGATCCACCTTTCATTTCACATTTTCTAAAATATTTTTTCAAACGGGTTTAATGACAGCGAATGGTATCCGTCCGTTTTAGCTAAAAGGTCAATAACTCGTGTTAAAAATTTCATAATGCTCCTTATTGTCGGCAACACAAATTTTTTTTATTGTATTATATGTTATGACTTAGCCGTCTAGCGATGTAGGATACATTGTTAGAAAATCCACAGGCTTAAAGAATTAGAATATTTTAAGGATAATTTAAAAATAATTAAAAAAAAGCGGTACTGCAGCGCTTTTTTCCCTTTATATTGTATTATTGTAGCTTTAAGCGGTCGCTCTTAATATTTGCATTTTAAGAATACTCTCCGAGTACTATCTCTGTAGACAATAGTGTCTGTTCGTCAACTGGAATATATTTTTCGAGACCGAATGTGTCTATGAGGGCATTATTATAAGCTAGAATATATATATATATAGGATGTCAAACGAGTACACAGTCCACCTGATGGTAAGTGGTTGCTGTGGCCCATAGGCATCTACATCTATCCTCAATTACGAATCAAAATGCAGATGCGTTGTCATCCGTGAGGACTTAGATGGAATGCCTCGTTTCCAGTAAAATAGGTCTCCGGATCTCACTCACCATACAAAACACAGCAGCATTAAGCTACTATTTGACTCTGGTATTCTGTGAGAGCGTGGTCCTTCCCCGGTCGAGCCGACCCATTCGTGCTACAACAATACTACTAATATAACTGCAGCAAGGCTCTACCAATATATATATATATATATATATATATCACGTACTGTTTTTCTGTAAAACCTATTCGCCATAAAATAAATACGTACAAAGAACGTCGTAATTTTGTAGATCTAAAAATAGAGGTATTAAATGACTTTAAGCTATAGTGACCTAGTAAATAGTAATTAGTAATTAAATAAAGGCAATATAAGTCATCCTGGTTATTTAACGAACTTTGTATTCACTCTTTAAAATATTTGTAAATATTGCATAAGACAATTCCAGCATCGAGTTTAAAGTAATGGCGCTTATACTGATGAGCTTGTGAGGTAACAGGGAACGAGTTAAACTTATTTATCTTTCTTTTTATTGTTCAAATACTTATAATTTGATACGA